TTACAGGATCCTCTGCGTATCCTGTGAGTGTGATAGCTCGTATGAATTACATGCATCTAGTAGTAGCTGAAAGAGTACTGAGTCGTGTATGTGTGTGTTGCAAGGAGTGTAACCTTACTTACAGGACGCCCTGCCACTGCCACTGCGTACTGCCACATACCACTGCGTTCTGGCACTGCTATTGCTACTTAAACATGCCATAAGACTCTAAGGCTAAACCAGAAGAAACCAGAAAGGGGAGCTTCACTTTTCCTTTTGGCATTTTTTCTCAGCAGTTTTTCCTAATGCACTGCACGTTCCTCTATGTAGGTTTTTCTTTCGCTCTCTCCCTCTCTCATTTACACCTCAATTTGATTCCTTTTCCTACTCCGCTCAGACGAGACTGTTGAATGGGTTTGCCGGGTATTTTTTCCCTCGGTTGCTTGCTGGCTAACAAGCCGCACTCGCCCAGTGGTTGATGATGTTGCGATAGGTACTTGAGCTGCAGCTTGGAATTGCAGTGTAAAGTGTCCTCTAATGACGCCCACAGCTAAGGATGTCTCTCGCACTCTCTCTATCCCTCCTTTTAAAGTTGGTAATTGGATGGGTCGTCGTCTGCTCACCGTATCATCGTGTGTGAATGTCCATTGAGGGATAATTAATTAGTTGACTTTTCCGTTTTCCGTCTTATCATCGGTTCCACGCGCTGTTCCTCGCGCCTCATTTGCTATGCATTCCATTCTGCCTTCCTTTTCCCTCTCTCTCTTTCTGTGTGTGCCTCTACTAATCTCCCGTTTGAACACCGTTTTTATGCCAAGTAATCAAATCATTAGCACTTATTACAAGCTCCTTAATTAATAAATCATTTCACGTTCTTTTCAAGCTTTTCCTTCTCCTTCCGTTACTCTCCCTCTCTTTCGATTATATTTTTGTGCTAATGATGCATAAAAACTATGCAGCGAGACGCACTGTCAGCACTTTTCAGGGTCTCTTCTATCTCCGACTGCACTGTGTGCATTCAAGGGTATTTTTTCAATAGATAAATGGATAAAGGGACGAATTTTTATTATTTTTGTTTGCGCTAATTTGTGATATAAGGCAAAAAATAATTTCATAAATGAAAGGAAAAACTTGTAATGGGAATAAAACGTATGGAAGTTCATTTTTCTAAGGGAATTTTCCAACTTAATGGGTTTTTTATATCATATATATATTAATTGAAATATATATATAAAATATTTTTCTGAATCCTCGAATAGATGCTCTTCCCATCCCATATGCTCTTAATTTGTCAAATTTGCTTACCTTATATGATCCCAGATTCTTAACGGAACATCCGAGTTTAACATTACGTCCAGCAGGTACAGTTACATTTTCGATGTATTCAGTAAATTCGGGTTCTTCGACAACAGCTGCAAAATATATTTCAATAAATGGCCAAAGAGAATACTAATTAATTTAGTGCATAAAATATTTATTCAATTTTCATTTGACATTCATATATGACTAAGTTATTCTTTCGGTTGTGTTCCGAGGGAGCTGGTGGGCGGTTGAAGTGTATGGTTCCTATGTCAATATGTCACGCATTTGGATTGCATTTTGTATTTTGCATTTGCATAATCAAATAAACCATAAAAATCAATTATGCGCACAAAATTAATTGTAAAAATGTTTTGTGGGACCAATCGCCAAGGGCGTTTCGGCTGGGAGGAGGTGTGGAATGTTGTTGGTTTGGCAAAAATTCCTTTGGTGGGGTAGTGGAAAATAATTATTTCATTGATTTCTGCATGGAATCATTATTGCTGCTGCTGTTGAGGCATTTCCCTGCCGGTGGGACAAGGATTGTTAATGGGCAGGCATTGGACTGTTGGATACCTTTGAAATTGGGGGAAAGGCTGAAGTAATATAGATTATAATAATTGCATTGATAACTGTCGTTATTAGCATTGTATGCCAAATAATTAATGCCAATTTTATAGCTCTCATATTTTTCAAGCAAAGCAAGTAAAAGTTTTTAATGAGTTTTGGAATTAAGGTGAATAAATTTATTTTTGATATTTAATCAAACTTATCTTTGGATATAAGTCTTCTGACTTCTATAGTTTGCAAGCTACACATACTACAATATACCCTTTCTGTTCTTTGGATACCCTGTAATAACAAAAGCAAATGTGTACAAATATAATTAAACACATGTTCGCGCACACCCATCCTCTCTCTCTCTCTCTCTCTCTCTCTCGATATTTTGCCTGAAACATCAACAAGTTGAACGTTTTTTGCCCCTTTTTGCCTTACTCCTACATGCATGCATGAGGCAGCAGCTGCTGCACGTTGCATTCTGCATTCATTAAAGTTTTAATGGCTGTAGAATTTTAATGGGGTAAATTCTCTGTAGCGATTTTCTAGAGAGGCTGGCGACGACTTGGCTTAAATCATTTAGTTTCTAATTTGTTTGTAAGTTAATCAAATATTGGATATAGAAATTATATTTTTGTTGACTTTGCGCATACGATAGGCAAACAGGGTAAATGATTTGAATATGGTCATTCAATTAGCCTGTTATTCTATTTGCAACAGCAATTATTTAGCATTCCTACCGTGCTACAGCTCCTGGCAAAAGGCACTAGGCTATGCGCATAATAAACGACTCGATATTCAGTGGAAATGTTTTGGAAGTTCAGCGTGTAAAGATGCTCAACGAATGAGCAACGGGTTTTCGAATGTGTGATGAACTAAGCAATTAAAAGTTGAATTACTTATTTTCAAAATTACATTTAATTGGAGGATTATTTTGGGTAACTAGTTAACCTATAAAATACACATCTTTCGTCATTTTTTTAATGACAAATACTCATTTCCTGCATTAAAAACAACCTTTGAAATTATTTAGAAATGTCGAAATCTCGCTTGAAATATATTATGCCCTTTCCGTTTGATATTTGCACTTTGTGGAAAATGTGATAATTCGTTGGAGGAACCCAACATTTTAATTGCAATTTATGATTACATACATACAGAGTATATTTTCCATATTTTCGCAGACGCCAAAACGATAGAGAAACAAATCGAGGATAGGCCTACGCCAGTTTCCATCCATTGGCTTTGGCTTAATTATCTATTTATGATGTATGCTGCCGTCTGCCTGCCAGGTATCCATACATATGTACATATATAGAAGGTGAGTACAAACATATGTATGTATATACTATATACACACGATATAGAGTTACACATTTGTTGCAAATGGAATTGGCTCTGGGGTGGAGAAGGAGCAGGAGGAAATTTGCGTGCGCGCCACAAGTCAATATAAATTCGACAGTTGACTCTGGAATGAGAAAGCATGGCCACAGGGCATGAAAATACCCTTCAAATGGAAATGTTGATTGGTTCTGGATGAAAATTAAATCTTCTTTTATTAAGAATTTTTCATTGAAAGCTCATGAAACTGGTTTCCTAGGGTATCTATTACTTTGTTCATTGTTTCAATCACCACCACCATTTGTGTCACATTTGACCATGCCTCCTAGTGTCTGGCAAGCCCCAGCAACTAATTAACGAAACAATAACACAAAATGTTGCATAAATTAGTGAAAGGCTCCACAGAGAGAAAAGGCCAGCCAGCCAGCCCGCGAGAGGCGACAGGCCATCCATTGGAGGCGAGGCGAGGCTCCTCCTAGAAAATTGACACCCATAAAAAATGTGTGGATGCAACGCAGCAAACACTGTTGCAAGTCAAGCGTGCAACGTTTACGCAGTGGGCGTTCTGGGCGAGGGTTTGGTAGCAGCAAAATTCTCTGCATAATCATGGGATTTCAACCAGCTGCAATTTTCGCGCCAGAGCGCGTGTCTGCATATAAATTTTCAGAGACGAGGCGGACTCTGCTACGCCCTCCAAACAAAAACAAGAACAAAACAAATGCAAAAGCTTGGGGTTATAGGAATAAAAAGATATGACAGTTTTCCCTAGGGAACGACAGGGAACTGGAGATGCTCTTTTAAGGTTTAAGGAGATTGGTAATATTTAAGAATAGATTTTGAAAAAATAGCTGAAGCTTAAAGAAGATTTTTCAATATTTTTTGAGGAATTTTCGACTCTAATTCACCCGTAATCGCTGAGTTAAACTTAATGAACATTTTCTAGCATTTTATTTTTATATTTTAATTTGTATAGTCAGCATACAAAATATTCCCTTCGCAAAGGCTTTAGCTCTGATATTTGCCACTTGTTGTAGAAACAGGAACATATCTAAACTATACCTTTTTTCTTCAAGTGTATCCAAACCTTCGACTTTCACAACCAAAACTCTGTATCCTCTGCTGCTCTTGCTGCTTTGGTGGCTTCTGTTGCACCTGAGAACAATGACAGCCGGCATTTGCACGGGGGGCATGTGAGTGAGATATACTAACATCCAAAAAAGAGAGGAACACTTAACCCTCCCGGGGGCGCATTTCTTTTTCGTCACATATTTGTGCGGTAGCACCAGCAGCTGCTCCTCCTGCTTCATGCCAGCCTGATTTTCATTTTTGGCATTAAGCCGTGTATCACTTATGACCCGAGGCGCCTCTCTATGGTCTATCTCTCTCTGTCAGAGCGGATAGCCTCCCTTTCCTACCATGTGTCACCCTGTCTATGTCGCACTCTCCTGTTGTCTGTGTAAGTATGACGAGAGATACGATATACCAGATATGGATATCCGCGTGTTATTGATGCCATCATCATGATGGGGGCAGCAACGAGAGAACCACAGCCACGGAGCAGGCAACACTCGACTAATGTAAGAATGCAATACTTACACTCTACTTCAGAGTTTTGATTAACTACATTTTTTATGGACTAGACATTCTCCTAGAATTGACTGAGAAAAGCCCCGTAGAGTCACTTGAAACCGAAACTAGCAGAAGCAAACAAAAAAGATTAGAATCCGCAGAGCACTTTAAAATTACAAAATTGTCGTAACAAATATAGATGCAAGATAGTCTTTGTCTGTTGTCTGGTATAAAAGAATCAACCTTAGAGTGGTATAGTACAGTCTTATCAAAATGTTTCTGCGATCCCATGAGGTCTTTAATTTTTACTTTTTCTTGCTTTCCCTATTGGGGGCTTATACTACAACACCAGATGACGTAGATGGTAAGCTCCTGCGTGATATTACTGCTTCAAAATTCTCTGAATCCTTCTTTAGGTTCCCTCAACATAACCACTTTTTCATTCCATAAGATTGTGCAAAGGTTTATACTATTTTGATAGAGGCATCAAATTGAACTGGTTCGATGCCTATGAGTCGTGTCGGCGCATAAAGGCTGATCTGGTTGCATTTGAAACCATCGATGAATGGTATTTGATTCATAAGTATCTCAAAATACTACAGCGCCCCGATGATTTGTTTTGGACTTCAGGAAATGATTTAGCAAATGTGGATAAATATAATTGGTTCGCAAATGGAGAACCCCTGACATTGGATATCTGGGCTCCCGGTGAGCCAAATAATAAGGGAGGAATCGAGCATTTCGATGAGTTGGGTTAAGATTTTCCTGAACGAGTACTCCCACTCGATCGAATTTAAGTGGCAGAAGGAAATCCAAGATATATTTGTATAAGATAACTGCTACTTAAAGATATTCCATGTTAAATGTTTAGCCAACGACAGTCTCGTTTATAATATGGTAAAATATGTGAGATAAATAGTTACCTAAAGGATCCTTCAGATGGAATTGTCTATGCAAAAAATATAAAAGCAGTTCAATTGTATTGCAGACTCAATTCGTCTTTAACATAATGCTTCCACTTTTTCCACTTGAATGTTGGAGTTTGCTTGAATTATTCACACTTTTCGATACTCTTCTTTGTCCAAAAACCACACACAAATTTATGTAGCACAGTGTAGCCAGCGCTAACATTTACATTTCGCCTTCGAATAAATTTAAAGTAGATAAATATACGAAGGATACTCACTGTTTAAATTCGTGGTTTGGCCATTGGCCACAACACCGCCACCGGCAACAATCACGCCATTGCTTCCGACCACCGTATTGCCAGTTCCTGTGGCAGTACCGATGACTCCGACGTGTCCTACGCCGCCTCCCACGCCATTTGTGGCACTGTTTGCTGTCTTCGTTCCGGATGGATGCTTGCCAGGGGCGTCTCCACCATTCAGTATTTGTGGCAAGATGATCTTGTTGTTGGTGGAGTCCCCCGCTGTGGCCGTGAGCACGAGGAGGGCCCCAATTAGATGCCAAGATGGCAGCAACATCAACTTGCCGTTTTGTCCTTGGGCGACCGTTTAGCCACAGCAACCGCCAGGAGCAGCCCCAAAGATGGCCTTGCCGCCTGGCCAAAGTGCATCCTCCTCTTTGTAATACTAAATCCTGCTCCTCTCCTCCTCCTGCTCTCACTCTCACTTGCTTTTATATGCCTGGGGTTTTGTTTTCTGATTTTATGTTAAATGTTTTTGTTTTCTCGAGCGCTTTTCACACGGTTTTGTTATCACAGTTTTTCCATTGGCCTTTGGGCATTTGTTTAGCAATTTAATCAGGGCTTCATATTTGATGATAAAAGATCTCACACGTTAAGATTTAAAAAGTTGGCTTCACAGTTTTTCTCTTCCTCTGTGGATAACCTATAACATATTCCATCTGCCAAAGGCACACAAAAAACTGCCTTAATTCTCGAGTTTTCCATTTGACTTTGGCGCTGCCATAAATTTGCTTTCAATGCACTACCATTCCCCCCTCTTGCCAATTGTTTGCTGTCTAGTAAGTTTCCCTCCCGCAATTTCCCCGTTTTGTGCGAGTGCCATGCAGATTTTCCGGGGGAATTCAATAAAGTTTGGCAAAATATTATCCCCATGGAGCCGTATTCCCGCTGCCACACACGAACAAATAGGCACACACACAGTCATTCCCATTTCATGTAGCACGTGTTGCAGCCAAGTTTACCCGAAAGGGAAACGGATAAAGGGCTAAAGGAAACACCGGAATAGTCATAAAGATATGCCCTGGAGACTCTTGCTCTCTCCCTGGCGCGCAGTTGATAAATGATTCTTTGCTTTTTATGTATTTCTTTTCTAAATTAAAAGTCGAATGAACAAACTAAATGAGGAGTTTAGAGAGACTTTTCTTAAGAATTTAAGTTAATTTTTAGGTGGGTTCACGAACTCTAAGACTTAAAGTTGTAGGAGAACCTATATACTATATATTCTGTTAGTAACCTAAAAATGAATTTTTTTTTTTGCAGAAAGAGCGATAAATAAAGGATTCAACAAAAACCCAAACTTCATTGAAATCGGTTAGCTTTGAATACTTTTGTGTTGAGTGTTCAAAACTTTGTGGTTTCCACAATTTCCAGTCAATGATATTTTAAACCTAAATTCTAAAATACATCACAATCGGATAGATATTATTATCAGAAAATCATTCTTAAAAGCGATATCTCTCAGTACTCTATTTTATTTCTTTTTAAAACAGGATAACATTTTTTGTCTGATGCACACTCATGTGAACGCTCAGACAGCGTGAAGTCCTTTTACAAGTATACCAATTAATTTGAATGCTCTTTCTATTTGTTGTTTATCTAAAGTTTTTTGAGGTTTTTCCTCCTTCTCCTCATTCCCTTTTCTTCCTTTTCTCTTTATTTTCTGACTTTATTTGCTACTTTGATAACTTTTTGTCGTTTGTAATATGTTAAGTTTCTGTTTGACAGCAATGCGTGTGTTTATGTACAGTGCGTGACAGAGCAATAGCGCTTTCGAAGATCTATAAAAAAAAAGTCGCCCTTTAAATTTGGTTCTTGGGATGAAAGATCTATGAAGGTTTTAAAATATCCTATTAAACGAAAAGTCCCAATAGACATAAGACACTCTTCAGAATGTCACTGCTGTGCTTATACTCCCGAAACGCAATGCCATGTCCTGTGTATCGTTTGCTGAAAGATGTTTCTTTGGCCATCTCTCTGCAGCTACCCAGGCGAAACTTTCTCTAGGAAATTTTATATTTTTTATGGCTTATAAGCGTGTCGCCAGTTAGCTTTTTGTGGGGTCTTCCTTCCCACACGCAGTCTGGCAGAGACTCGCTACTCCACCCCTCGCCCCTCCAGCAAACACACAACTTTTTCCCTTATGACTCGCTTATGAAATTAAGCAATTTTTCGATGCCCCTTCCCCAATTTGAGGGCGGTGGCACACATGATGAAGCATTTGCCTCATGGACCAAAACAGATTTAACATCCCTAAAATGGCAGAAAGAACAAGTGGGTGTGGCGGGGGCCATTTTATGCACTTTTTTATGAGTTTGCCAAAGTGTTTTGTAATTAAATTAATAAATTGTTAGACGGAGAAAGTTCCCTGTTCTGTTTTTCAGTGTTTTCGACCACTTTTTTTGTGGGAAAATTAATTTTTAATGAGGCTATTTAGTGTTTGATTTGTTCGGGGTTTCTTCTCAAATTGGTTCATAATCGTTTCTGTTCGATAAATGCGATTAAGGATTATTATTAAGGAGACTGCCATCAGATATTAGAGTTTTCTTCCATGTTCATAATTCGAAAGGTTTGATATGAAAAACTACTTGTTGGCTCTAAAAAACATAGAAAATTTTCTCCATTTCGAATAGCACTTTTTGGGCCATTTGACCAATTAAAATACAAAAAAAAAAAAAAATACAGATTTCTGGCCTGTGGCCGTGGTTTAGGAGGCAAGTTCGGCAATCTGAAAGGCAAACAAAAACCGTAGCCACCACAATCTGTCGCATTGGAAGATTATTCAGGGGTTCCGTTCAAATCTCGTAGCAGCAACTTATTATCGGTCGGTAGAGAAATTTCTGCGGGTAGCTGTTGGCGCCACTTCAATTTATGTAAAGAGCACTTTGTTGGTCATAATAAGCCACGACTTTTCCTGGGTGTAAATCATTTCTAGTTGAGTGAGGACTTTCTTTTTGCTAAATGCTGGCAGCTTTTAGTGCCACACGGTAATGAAGTGGAATGAGGTGCGGAAATGTACAAGGAATGGCAGTAGATATACAAAAAATTGTTTACATTGAAAAGGCATACAAAAATGTGAAGAAAATTCCACTTGGAATTATGAAGAAACTAAAACCAGAAAATTCAATTGTAATTGATTGATATTCATTTTCTAGTATTTTTTTGGTCTTCGTTTTGAATTAAATTGTTCTTTATTTATTTATTTGTTGTGTTTCTAGTATTTTAGTGTATTAACTTTTTCTAAGACCATTTTTTTTTATTTATGTGTTTGAAGAAAGCTTTAATTTGATAAAAGCCAAAATCTTTAAATAAATTATAATTTTAACATTTTTCATCTCTAAATCTCATTAAAGTTTCTCTCCTAAAGCCCCCTTACTTACTAACCCGGGATCTGCATAAACAATTTTTATTTACTCAATTGTCAATCCTATGTTTCACTTTTGATAACAAAAGTTCTCTCACAAAAGTCACACAATATCCACAGGAAATCTCTGCCATCATCATCAATGGCATCATCATCATATTTTTGCTTTTTTAGGTTGCTCTTCCCGTTTCCACTTCGCAAAATTTGTAAATTTGTTAGAGCAAACGATAACCCTGAATCAAAAAAACAAAAAAGGAAGCAAAACAAAAATGAAAAGAAAACCCAGTGAAAAGCGTACAACAAATAGAGATATAAAGGATAAATAAAGGAGCAATAAGCTCTGCACTGCACTGACGACAAAAGTTTTCGCCAGCAGCTGACGGTTTTTGGGCGAGCGGAATTCTCTCTCTCTCTCTCTTGATCTCTTTCTCTGACTCTATGACTTTCCCACTCTGTATCTCTATATTGCAATGTGTTTGCTGCCCCTAACACTGGATGTACGTACTGCATTGCCATTGATCTGCATCGATGCTAGCAGGCAAGCAAAACAACCAAAGTTTTGGTACAGTAGAAACTGGCTGGAGATGAGTATTTTTAGGGTTTCCTGCAGAAAACTTTTAAAAGAAGTCTGAACTTATGACACATTCTGGTACTCTATAAAACTAAAATTATTCAAATCAACATATCAATTTTAAATCTCAATACAAAAGCATCTTAAAAATCCCCTACCAAAAACAAGGAAAATATAAGGACTTGACGAGTGCTGCCCATCTGCATGAAAATGTTTTATAGAATGGTCACTTTGCATCCAGATATGGTAGAAATACTTCCACAAAACACCTTACATCTCTTTGTCTTTTAGAGATTACAAATTCTCATTCGTTCTTTCACAGCAAGGCACTACTGTACCTCCTGCGTATGCACTCCCATTACGTATGCAGTTTTCAAGCAGTTGGCTGCACTGCAGTGCCACATGCCCTCTGCCACACACGTCCCTTGTCTGTGCTCCCTTCAGCCAGTA